TGTCGGTCACTTGCTTTATATCGTTCAAGGTTTTAAATTTTGGCAATTCTTTGACTTTAATAGTTATTAATATGATTTATTTTGCCAATATTTTTCTGTTGTCTGTTAAGGACAACCATACCGGCTCCGTTGCACACGTATATATAAATATTTATATGTTTATATTCTTTCACTTTTGACTTTATACGTTCGCTATAAATAGACCTAATACAAACGGCATTCCACAATCAGTAAGGTTGCTTTTTGCTTTGTGCGTTGCGAGAATAATCTATATGTTTCTAATGAATAATCTACATGTTTCCGCTGCTTATTTTCAGTATTTTACACCGAGTTTTACACAAGGCTGTCTGAAGAGAGCTATTTTGGTAGTATGACAAACCCGGAAGTTTAAAAACGTCACAAAATATAAAACCGGTTTTGCAAGTTCTCAACGGCAACGTCAGCATGGAAGTGAGATTTGTATCGCGTGCCACCAGAGGTTCTCTTCGCCTCGCGTAAAATAAATATACGAGCGGGAATAAGGCGAAAGATACAGAACCTCTGGCAACCAGGGTACTTGGGGGTTTAAGCTGTATAGATCTGTTCTGAAGAAAACTCACTTCTTAATAATCTCAAGTTAGCATTTTCAGAAAACACAAATAAGAAAGGACACGAAAAAATATTCTGATGCATTTTTTTGTGTCAATCTACATTACTTTATGAACTTAAAACATATTGGGTTATTTTCTAGTTACAATCAGACTAATTGATATATCTATTTACGAAGCTCTTTAGATGCATGTTGATCATCTAAAATACGCATTTTTGACGTTATATGTAGCAGGAAGGCGTAGTCAGGTTACCACCAACAATGTACATATGTGACTGATAACTGTTTCCTACATTTTCTACTTTTATGCTAAACCATTTATGTTGTGTTTTTACCAAGGACTCATCCTTTATTACATATCATATGTTGCTTTAAAATCGAAAAATAATAGATATACAGAATGCCTACTCATTGATTATGAATCGTATCTCCTCTTTTATCTTGCAATCCGCCATTATATTGAATTCGACTAATGGTTCGCTAATTTTAGGAACGAGAAAGGTTTATTTCCTCAGTAGTGTACATAAAAAAGGGTTGGCATTTTCTGCAACCCCGAATAAAAGAACGACGCGAAACAATATTCCAATTGTACACTTTTTTATAGGGCAACATTATTGTAGCACTCTGCTTCGTCTTCAAACAGACTAGCGGACAAACTAGCTTTTATTAAAGTTTATATAGAGTTTGATCTGACATCTATAAGAAGCCCCATATTGTTTATTAAGATAGAGTATACTGACTTTGAATATGTCACAGGTAGTGATTGCAAATTAGTTTGCCTTTGTTTTTTGCTTTTAACCCTATAATATGGAAGAAATTGCCGGATGATAGTAAGTATATTATGACATCCGATCAAAGGGGGTTGGAGGTTACTGTAACTTCAAATTTCCTCTGGGGAGGTATAGATGTTTTCTGGAATGACCCAATGACATGTCTTCGACAGTGAAAAGGTTGACCAAGACAAGGTTTTCTACTATAAAGATAAAATATAAAAACACTGATCCACTAGCTGTTAACCTAGAAATAATACTCTTTGGGTTAATTTAATATTCCTGGTGAAATTTCCTGATTATTTTAATCTTTATCTTACTATAGTTAAATTAACCAGACCATGCTATAGGTGCATACATAATCAGGGGGGCTACTTTTGTGTAATTACTTACATACGGTAGCATAAATGTGCATCCTCTAATTAGCCGCTATAGTTTCCCTATAGTAAATCCGCCATATGGAAATCATCTAGGAGTAACTGTTGTTGTTGTTCTAACCTTTCTACATTTGTCATATTCGATACATTTGTCCTGCTCCCGAGGGAAATAGTTTTGTTTTCGCGAGAGTCTCATACAGTGCATGTGTTCCGAGACGAAATCGAGGGAAACATTGAGACCGAGGGGAGACAAAACTATTTCCCAAGGGAACAGGCATTAAGTGTTTTGTTAGATAGCGACGAAACAAAAAATACAATTGTATGTCATGACAAGAAGTCAAAAACACTAAAGTGACAGTGTAAACGAGTTTCAAATTAAAAGAACCTACTTAAACGGTTTCAGCAGCATATCCTGTTGCCTGTTGTGCATTTTTCTTCTCTTTGACATTCTTTATTTTAACACAAACTTGGAAAATCCTAGTTTATAAACTTGCGAGTTGTGCCGCCATTTTCTTTATTGTGTATGCAACCCCAATTAGATGAACGAGACAAAACAACATTCTGATTATTCGCTTTTATTCTTTTAAATTTAGATTCTAGTGCAACATTTCTCTATCATTCTACTTAAACCTATTTTTAAATTTATGTAGAGCTATAAGAGGCTCTATGAATATGTAGTGCGAAGTGAATAGTCAGGTAACCACCCACAGTGCACATATTTTTAGTGAAAATATGTCCTATAATATTAAGTTCTACTTTTGTGTTAAACTATTTTCGATTTCATACTTTTACCACAAAATAAATACCTATTCTGTGTTTTTACCAAAGACGCGTTATCTATATTACTTATCATATGTGTTGCCAAGTGATAACGTTTCAGTACAAGTATTATCCTCAAAATCCGCTCTTCTATCCTAACCCCAACATTGCAATTTTCCCAGTTTGTGGTATCCTTTCTCATTAACGTGACCGGTATCTCCAAATCTCAGCTCAGTAACAGGCAGTGTGTTCTTGTCAGTCAAATATCCACTGTCTTCACGCCATGTGTAATCATTCTTGTCACAATTACATTTTCCTTCACCTGCACAGCTGTTGGTCATTCCACATGAACATTTTCCACTGTTGACTGCCGCACCACCCCAGTAATTCATCTTTAAACCTTGACGTGATACCCACCAAGCATAAGATTTAGTAGTGTACAGTAGAACGCTACCATAACATTCATATTTTATAAACTGCTCACAATACTTGGACTGCTTCTAATGGCGACGATCTGCTCCATCTAAATATTATATTTAATCTTTCTTCTGTAAGAACCTGCAGCTTCATATCCAGTCATGTCCAATCACAGTATACTTGAACCAATGGCGATGAACTGAGTCCTTGGGGATTGATATAATACATTCCACTGCGTGCTGACGGATGCTCTATTAACAAAGCTGAACAAGACGTTACTGACGTTGGTGGATGTAACCTGTCAATACGCTTCACAATATCTGAAAAACATTATTTTTCGTTTTAAACTGTTAAACTCAAAAACAATTCCTGAGACGCGCATGCCTAATACTCTTCTGGATCCATAAGGGTAGATGTGGATATCAATGGACACATCCCGAATTTGCTTGAGTGCACATGAAACAATAGCTTGAAATCGAGGCGGGCAATGTAATCCAGCTTCTTTGTGAAGTTAATTAACTATATATTTTTATCGCTTCCCTTGCAAATTACCATACTCATTCCGGCGTTCCCAAGTCATGATAAGCTCCGTTTTCTGGGCGAAATATCAAGCAGACAATAAATAGACAAAATTGCAATTGAGAAATAAATGGCCATGCGCGTAGAGCGCATGCCGAATTATTATTTCATAACTAATGTTACAATATTACTTTTTGAATACGTAAATCGGAGTTAGTAAATCGGAGTAAAAAGGTGGGGTAAAACAAACGCCCACCCGAAGATTACTTACAAGTAATAAACAAAGCCAAATTATTTATAAAGAACGCAGTAGTTACAAATAAGGGCGGGTGAAATTCTTATATGGAACTTGCAGACTTGACGAGCCAGTAGCTTGAGAGATATGTCCTTGTCGTGACTTATGACGTTCTTTTTATATAAGCCGGTCACCTGCTAAACCGCATGCAGTGCATGATAAAATTTTTACTGTGAAATTGTAACAACTCTTTCCCGTAAAATACATTAGGGCTACCAATACCGGTAAAACCAGTTTAGCCTGAGACTTAAACCAATAAAATGAGACTGGAAAGCAATAAAATTATTATTCGCGGAGGCAAATAATTCCTTTTTTCTGTTAAACTTCATCCAATGGGTTGTTCCAGAAAAGTGCACACTCCTCCCTTGGAGGAAATTTCGGGATGATAATAGTAAGAGTATTATGACATCCAAAGGGGGTTGGGGGGTTACTGTCACTTCAAATTTCCTCTGGGGAGGTATAAATGTTTTCTGGAATGACTCAATGACATCATGTCTTCTACACGACTACAGTGAAAAGGTTGATCAAGACAAGTTTTTCTAAGTACTACATACACATACAATCTAAAGACACTGATCTGGTTAACCTAGAAATAACCCTATTTGGGTTAATTTAATATTCCTGCTGACTAATTTCCTGATTATTTTAACCTTTATCTTACTATAATCTGGTTATTTAGACCAGGATTTCCTACTTAACCAGACCATGCTAGGTGGCTAAATAACCAGGGGCAACCCAATCTCGTACCCAGAGCAATGCCTGTGCGCGGCTTAGGATGGCATTGGCTCTGGGGAAATTGACAACCGGAACCCCTAAATTTAGGGGTTCCGGTTCTTTGTCGGCATGCACGATTGACAAACGTTAAACCAATCACAGCACAGGAAAAATTCAATTTCCCCAGAGCCAATGCCATCCTAGCCCGCCCACAGGCATTGCTTTGGGTACGAGATTGGGGGCAACCTTAATTTGGGTAATTAGTTATATATATGGTATTATAAATGTACATCCTCTAGTCGCTAGTTTCCCTAGTACATCCGCCATATTGAAATTGACTAGGAGTAACTGTGTTGTTGTCTTAACTGTGCTAGAAGTGTCAGAAGCAATATTAATACACATGTTTTACTGAATAATTTAAGAAACAAGAACGGAACTAAAGGAACAAAATAAAGGAACAACGTAAAACAATATTCTGATTATCTGCTTTTATTCTTTTTAATTCAGATTCTATAGTGCAACATTTTCTATCATTCTACTTACTGTAAACATGCAATTACAGATTTCCTATTTTTAATTTATGTAAAGCTATAAGAAGCTCCATATTGCTTATTAAGCATAGTACTAACTTTGAATATGTAGCACGAAGTGAATAGTCAGGTTACCACCCACAGTGCGCATATTGTTAGTGAAAATTATGTCCCATAAATTCTACTTTTGTCTTAAACTATTTTTGATAGAAACTTTTACCAAAGACGCGTTTTATATTATCATATGTTTTGCTAAGTGGCAACGTTTCAGTTTATGTATTATTCCTCAAAATCCGCTCTTCTATCCTAACCCCAACATCGCAATTTTCCCAGTGTGTGGTATCCTTTCTCATTAGTGTGACCGGTATCTCCAAATCTCAGCTCAGTAACAGGCAGTGTGTTCTTGTCAGTCAGATATCCACTGTCTTCACGCCATGTGTTATCATTCTTGTCACAATTACATTTTCCTCCACCTGCACAGCTGTTGGTCATTCCACATGCACATTTTCCACTGTTGACTGCCGCTCCACCCCAGTAATTCATCTGTGAACCTTGACGCGTTACCCACCAACTATAATATGTACCTGCAGAACTGAACCCAAAAAAAACGCTATGATGACATTCATATTTTATAAACTGCTCACAATACTTGGACTGCTTCAAAATGGCGACGATCTGCCCCATGGAAATATCATATTTAATCTTTCGTTTGTAAGACCCTGCATCTTCATATCCCTTCACAAGTGTTCTTGACCCACTGTCATGTCCAATCACCGTCACACCAACACCATTCTTTGACGTCATATTACAATATACTTGAACCAATGGCGATGAACTGAGTCCTTGGGGATTAATATAATACATTCCACTGCGTGTTGAAGGATGTTTTATTAACAAAGCTGAACAAGACGTTACTCGATGTAACCTGGCAATATCTGAAAACACAATAATTTTCGTTTGTTTTAAAAGCTGTTAAACTCAAAAATAATTCCTGAGACGCAGGATGTTAGCCAGGCGGCCGTCCGACCGTCCTATGGACGGCCACGTCTGAATTTGGACGGCTAAATTTTAATGGACGGCCTAAGGCCTACAAGCTTTGTAATATTTCTTGAATACTTCACGCCATATTTTTGTAAAACGCGCCATGTTTTTGTAACCATTTTGAGGATTCCCGCATGAAGTATCAGGGAGAATAATGTGAAACCACTGTTTTAAAAAACAGCAATCGCTTTATCGCTCGAGCGACACATTACAGTTTGAAATCGCCTAATCGAGGCGGGCAATGTAATCCTTTGTAACCACCCACAGTGCGGATATTGTTAGCGATAATTATGTCATATAAGTTCTACTGTTGTGTTTAAACTATTTTTGATTGACCCTTGTACCAAAGACGCGTTCTATATTACTTATCATATGTGTTGCTAAGTGATAACGTTTCAGTTTATGTATTATTCATCAAAATCCGTTCTTCTATTCTCACCCCAACATCGCAATTTTCCCAGTGTGTGGTATCCTTTCTCAAAAGCGGTACCGGTATCTCCAAATCTCAGCTCAGTAACAGGCAGTGTGTTCTTGTCAGTCAGATATCCACTGTCTTCACGCCATGTCCGGTCATTCTTGTCACAATTACATTTTCCTCCACCTGCACAGCTGTTGGTCATTCCACATGCACATTTTCCACTATTGACTGCCGCCCCACCCCAGTACTTCATCTTTGAACCTTGACGTGATACCCACCAACCATAAGGTGTTTTTAACAAGATGCTATGATAACATTCATATTTTATAAACTGCTCACAATATGTGGACTGCTTCATAATGGCAAAGATCTGTTCCATGGAAATATTATATTTAATCTTTCGTTTGTAAGAACCTGGAGATTCATATCCATTCACAAGTGTTCTTGATCCACTGTCATGTCCAATCACCGTCACACCAACACCATTCTTTGACGTCATATCACAGTATACTTGAAACGATGGCGATGAACTGAGTCCTTGATGATTGATATAATACATTCCACTGCGTGTTGAAGGATGATTTATTAACAAAGCTGAACAAGACGTTGGTGGATGTAACCTGTCAATAAGCTTCACAATATCTGTAAAACAATTTTTCGTTTGTTTTGAAATTAAAGCTGTTAAACTCAAAAAAATCCCTGAGACGCGCACGCCTAATACTATTCTGGGTACGTAAGGGTAGATGTGGATGTCAGTAGACACATCCCGAATTTGCTTGAGTGCGCATGAAACAATAGCTTGAAATCGAGGCGGGCAATGTAATCCATTGTAAATAAACCTGCAGGTTTCATTGCCAGCCAGAAAATTCGGGAATTTAATTTACTATATATTTATACAAGAAGAAACGAAAGAATAATTTGCAAGCTGCAGATATAAAACAACATATAGCAGCAAACAAAATTGTTTTTTTATACACGTCCAGTAAAATCGCGATTGGAAACTAAAACGACGAGTGCACATTACGCTATTAATAATTAACAATTATTGAATGAGGTTGAGCACGATATGAAGAATTATCACTTCGCCTTCGGCGAATAATTGTTACTGAATTACCAAGCCCTCAGTTTGCCGTTATCAACCTCAGCCTTCGGCTTCGGTTGATAACGGCGAACTGAGGGCTTGATGATTAACAATTATTCGCGGAAAGCGAAGTGATTACCGGCGAATATTCACCGAGACGAAGTCGAGGTGAATATTCATCGTAATCACTGAGCCTGAGGCGAATAATTGCTTTAGTATAAATTTTGGATTTTAAAGAATATGACGGCAAGGTTTTTCCGAATCGATCGAGTCGGGATAGTTTTTTTCTATTTGTTTGAAGTGAATGTTTCGGAGTTTTGAATAAGTTTCAAATTGTCCGTTAATATGTTTGACATAGTAATTAACTAATAAAGAAATCCTTTCAAGTTAAATACGACATTTTGTGCTTCTTTCGTTTTCTGGGGACGGTTGTTTGAATATTTTGTCGATTTTGAAACCAAATTTGCCGAATCAATCTTTTTGAAAAGCATTATTTACTACCCAGGTGGTAAATAATGCCTCACATTTACTAGTCAGCTAGCCAATCAAAACGCCCGAAAGCTCATTTGATACGCAAAGTTATACTAATTCTTCATATTGTGCATGCGAAAACCGAATTCAATAATTATTTTATTATTTATTTAAAAAATTCAAAACAAACGGAAGCCATTTGTATTTTATTTTTATTACGAAAAAAACAATTCCCTAAGGCCCATGCATCTACACGATACGACTAGTCGTATACGATTCTTATCCTGGATGTAACCGAATATTTGTATGTAGGCTATAGATATGTCACATTTCAAACTTCGCCATGAACTGATGAACAGTTCGTTTTCATACGCCAGGATAAGAATCGTATACGACTAGTCGTATCGTGTAGACGGGCCTTTAGTTCTTCGGCAACCGTCGTCGTCGTCATATCAATTAATGGCGTCAGCGAGTCAATATGATTCTCGTCGTCATAGTAATATGGCGCAAACGCGTCCAAATTTTTTTCATATTGACTCTTTGACGTCATTTTGCTAATATGAATGTGAAAAATCCATATTTGGTTAGCCATTGAGTTGATATGACAATTTCATGCAGTTGGCTGTTAGCTAATCAGAAACCAGGAAGTTTTTAAATAAATAATAAAACTGTTTGATGCTCCCCATTATCAATTGCGTATCACTACTCATCATCTACAGAGATTCATGTTTGGAGTTTGGATAATTGGATATTACGTTTGGGTGTTAGAGTTTGGCGGGAGTTTAGGGAACTTTTTCTGATCTTAATCAGCTTGTCTAAGCAAAGCAAAGAAGTGAATATAACTATCGTGTCAGATAGTGTTTTCTACTTTAGCTGCATGTATTAGTAAAAAGCAAATATTTAATACTTTAAATTAAATTACTTGAACTTGGTTTAATTAATAAAATTGTGATATAGCCTTATTTTCTATAATATCATAGTTGCCTCGAAATCCTTTGTCTCGCGAGGTACGATTAATCACTAATTTACCTCATTACCCATGCATACGCTTTGTCTTCTAAATTTACCCGGTAAATTTAGTTGAAAACAAAGGATTTCTTTGTCTTCTAATTTTCCCCTGCATGCTTGATGAGGGAAATTTAGAAGACAAAAGCGTACCTCATTACCTCTGATTGGAGAGCTGTACCTCATCGAAAATCATCGGCACAACTATGGACCTCTCTCCTCCGCAGAGGCTTTAATTGGCCGTATGAAGGCGCGAAGCCTCTGCACGATGCCACACCCAATATGGCGGTAAACCGGGGGGGACGTATAATTATCAAACGCAAAATTCAAGTCAAAATGACTGAGAAAATATCTCTTTACAATACTGCAACAAGCTGAGAAAGAGATTATTTACTAGCTCTACGAAATAAGAAAGTGTTATGTTCAGTTTGCGACAAAACATCTGCATTTTTTCTAGACAAGGTATACATCTACAGTATAAAACAATACATGGAAACAACGTATTTAGCGAACAGGTTTTGGTTGGAAGCGAAGAAACTTTTATTTAAATTTATATTTGACATTTGTATTTTTAGAAATGTGCCCAAAACCGCATAAAAGAAAAAAATGAGTATGTATAGCATACAGAACCATTATTAAATTTATTATCAAGACTGAAAATACAATTCAACTATTTCAACTTCAGCAATATTTATAAACAAACGCGACCTTCAGTCGGTTTCGACCTGATTTATTTGGACGTTCGTATCTTTGGTTCAATATACGCTATGTAGATGAAAATACCACCGTTCGATTCAGTACAAAAATATCTCCTAGTTTCTATCGATAGTTTTAGTGAAATATCAACACTATAGCGATTTATGACCTTTGAAAGTCAAGCGGGATTTTGTATATTAATATCAAATCGCGCAATGTTTTAAAGACAATCAAACAGCATTCAAAACAGGCAACACACCACGCGCGATTCCCTCGGCAACTATGATATTACAAAGTAATAGCATGGCATTACGGTCGATTAGTGATGAAATGTCCCTTTAGCCCGCCGCACACTAGAGCTATCAGCTGAGCTGAGCGTCACGCGTGACTGTTGGCGTAAGCAAGTTTCTCAGGTGTGCGGGGACGTTTTGAGAGATTTCCGGCATGCCTGCCATTAGCACGGAATGTTCAACATGTTGAATAATTTTTGACACGAGTGTCGATTATCTTTAAGTGTGCGGGCAGGAAAAGCAAACAGCTTACAATATGATGGCAATACGCATGCGTGCTACATGAATCTTTCAATTAACCAAAATGGCGACAAGTAGCGTTGTCACGCCGTTGTGGTGTCCGAATCATTGTTGGAAGACAAAATCGCCGATATTTGGCCGGATTACCCTTGCCTTTATGACGTGAGGAGTCGCGATTTTAAAAATAGAGATTTGCGTGATAAGTCGATGCAAGAAATAGCCGAAAAACTTGGACAAACTGGTATGTTTATTTTATTTACAAGTTCACTGTTCACATTTTCAGGCTTTCTTGCCATCCTACTTTTCCTACTTTTTCCTACTTTTCTTCAACTTTCCTACTTTTCCTATTTTTTCCTACTTTTTCTCATAAAATCCTACTTTTTTAAGACAGCTTGGGGAATCAGTATATTGTAGCTCTCGTAATTTAGATCTATCCCAGCTAGCACATAACGTTATTACAACGTTGGTAAAAGGTTGTTGCAAAGTTAGATCTAACTTAACTTTCACACGACGTTCACACAACATTACTTTTCTATCCGGAATAAGAGCACGTGGTGTAAACGTTGGTTTAACGTTGAAATTTAACGTTCCAGGATGTCATGCGACACCTTCTTAGCAATGTTAGATTTCAACGTTGTAGCAACGTTAATGTGTAACGTTTGGACGTGACATCAAAACAATGTCTTTGACAACGTCGTCCTGACGTTAAGATTTGATATTTTCGCAACGTTCCAGGATGTCATACGATATCTTCATGGCAATGTTAGATTTTAACGTTGTAGCAACGTTAATGTGTAACGTTTGGATATGACATCAAAACAACGTCGTAAACAACGTCGTCCTGACATTAAGATTTGATATTTTTGCAACGTTGCAGGATGTCATACGATATCGTCTTAGCAATGTTAGATTTTAACGTTGTAGCAACGTTAATGTGTAACGTTTGGATATGACATCAAAACAACGTCGTAAACAAGGTCGTCTTGGCGTTAAGATTTGATATTTTCGCAACGTTCTAAAAAAATTAAACATATGTCTTCTATTATTGAACCTGACAGTTAAACTATAGGTATAAAACCGCATCAGGCCATATGACTTCGTATGCCTATTCAGCTGCAGGAATCGCGAGGAACGTCGCGTTGGTTAGTTCTTACTGGAAATTTTGTCCTGAAAACGTTTTATCCAACTGATTTTACTGAGCCAGACAGTAGGCCTTTGTATTTGGCAGCTTATCAACAACTCGCCAAATATGGTAATTCTGACCATATATACGTAAAGTGTTTGCGCCGCGGGCAAATTGAAAAGATTACACCATTGTTCTTGGCTTGCGACGCAACTGAAATGTATGCTGACTCTGTAATCTCATCGAAGTTGCTGTATATTTCAGAAGAACTCGCTCGTTCGTCTTGTTTTCGATGTAAGTATATATATTGTATCTGTAACATTTGAAACTTCCATGTGTCTATCTCATGTAGGGAAAAAAGGCGAACAAAATATATTTATTTTGATATGTGTCTGCATGTTTGTTTGACGCCATATGAATTTACATTTTACAGCGCCTCTCTTGAATCGAAGATATATTTCAGAAGTACTCGTTCATTTGTCAATGAAATCCAAGAATGACTAATTAGTATACTGTATTAAATATTGAACTGTCTGTGCCAGTGTAGATGGGGATGCAACTATCTCAAACTACATATAACGAGAACTAGAAGAATTACGACGTTTCGAGCGAAGGCCCTTCGTAGCAACGTATTTACTCTGGAGGGTCTTCACTCGAAATGTCGAAATTACCCTTATATTGTTCAGGTAATTCTGTAATTTAAACTACAGACTGTTATTCAAGCACAGTATTACGTATGTCTATTTCTAAAATGCGGCCTAGAAAAAGTTCCGTCATACAAGATTGTTCAGGTAGTTGCATCCCTACCAACGAAAGCTTGTTCATATACTATACTGAATTAAATATTATTGTCAATATTCATCCAAACTATAAATTGGATCAGTATTTTTAGCCTATATTATTTGTAAATGAAGCTCTTTCCTTAAATAAAATGATTAAATCAAAGATTTTAGTTAATTGTTCTAACGTTGATCCTAACGTTGTCACAACGTTCCTGCGAGTTCACAAAATAACGTTACTACAACGTTAATTTTCAACGTTTCCTGGACGTTAATCAAACGTTGCAAGAACGTTGAACCAACGTCGTGTTCTAACGTTAATCAAACGTTGTAAGAACGTTGAACCAACGTCGTGTTCTAACGTTAATCCTGACGTTGTCACCACGTTCCTACGAGTTCACAAAATAACGTTACTACAACTTATAATACCAACGTTATCTCCACGTTCGGCGAACGTTCGTACAACGTTGGCACAACGTAATTGTGCTAGCTGGGATAGGACTCGTAATTTTTATTCCCTATTTGTGTCCCAGATGATAAGATCTCAGGAGGAGAAGAAGTACATTTTCCGAGTATAAAATTTCATAGCATCTCTAGAATCATAATCAATAAATTAATGAAGACTCTGAAAGTGCCAATTCCGACGATCTAGAGATTCCAAATATTCCCCCCCCCCCCCCTCAGTCAATCAAGCATCATATATACCTTGCCGTAGCAACCGGGGGGGAGCTGCAGCCCCCCGATAATTTGCTAATAATCATTTTTTTTCAAAATCATGCAGTCCTTTATCATTTAATCCATGACAAACTGCAAAGAATGAAGATATTATACCCATACTTTCCTGCAACTTATCCAATATATAGTTAATTAAATACGCCTTCGCCCATTTAGTACTACTAAATTGTAAATTTCGACATACTAAAACGCTGTTTTCTGACCATTAGAATTCTGACTCTAAATTTAAAAATTTCCTCGGGCCTTCGGCCCTCGCTTTCAGCCCTCCAATCGAAAAGAGCTTCCTATACGGCCCTGATATATATGCTCCTGCCGCAGTGTGGATCAGATATCTAATGGTCTACCCTTACCACATATATCCTAGGGGACCAATTTTGTATATTTTTGTGTTATTTGCATCTCCAAAACTCCTACTTTTGTCCTACTTTTCTACACATTTTCCTACTTTATTCCTACTATTCCTAAAATTCTAGTCCTACTTTTCTACACAAGGATGCCAGAAAGCCTGCATTTTATATTTGAATAGTTGGAGTCAAAACGGAAAACTATATTACGCTCTATCTATATGGTATTGAGCACTGTTTGTGTTTCGTAAACCAAAAACTTAAGCTATATATATATATAAGATATATTCGTAAATAATGTGGTTTACGAAACGCAAAGAGTGCTCGATAACATATAGTCAGAGCAAACATATCATTTTCGCTTACCTCAAAAAGTCTGCTACAGGCTGTTTCATCCGTATAGGAATCTATAGGAATCTATACGGATGAAACAGCCTGT